GAAGTAAATATCATTTGAATAATTTTTTAAAATGTTTGTAGACAAAGTATAACACAAATGTTGAAAAGAAGCGGGCGGAACTAGGCTTGACTCAAGAAGATGACATCGATTCTGATGTGGAAGATGGTGCCATCCTTGAGGCAGCAGGGGTGTACAAGGGTCGGCTTCCATGCCTCGGGGCTGAGGGGCAACGTATTTTTGTACGATCGCAGCGGCAGCGGAGCTTCATCATCTTCTCGATCTAGGCGAGGAGAGGATCCACGCATTGCCCAATTGCAGCGAGAATTGGAGAAGCAGCAGCGTGCATTTGAACAGCAATGGAAGTATGATGAAGAAACGAGGGCCCGACTGGAAGCAATGGAACGGATCCTTGCTGGATATCAGCCTCCGCCGCAGCCTCATCCTCGGCCGTACATTATGCACGTTGAGCAGACTCCTCAGGTTCCGCACATGGGTGGTATGGGTTACCACTCTAACTCCGGTTACGGTGCCATGCCTGCAATAGGGTCGACATTCGGATCTCTGTCGCCTGATATGCTCAATAAGTTTCAGTCTTCGGGTGGAGGCAGCCGAGGAAGCAACCGAGGAGGCAATCGAGGAGGCAACCGAGGCAGCCGAGGAAGTTCCCGACCCTTGGACACCGTGGATGCAGAAGAGGATCATCATCGTGACTATGATGATAATGATGATGAATATGATTATGATGATTCTAATTTTTATCACAATGGAGTCCGACGTACGGGCATGTAATTACATAATATTGTTTGACATTGTATGGATTTTGATTTTATAATTCTGTCTGTAATAACATTTTTTATGTTTAAGATTGTATGAAATTTATTTTTATTGTAATTGCTTTAAAATAAAATTAAAATAATTTTTTATTTTTTTATAAAAATTGTTTTTTTTAAATCAAAAACATTAGTCACGGACTAAATCCGTGACTACTTTTTAATCCGGAATAAATTCAATTTTCGTTTTTTGATTTTTTTTATTTAAAATTGATTTTTTTAAAAACAAAAACATTAGTCACGGACCAGATCCGTGACTACATTTTATCCGAAATAAATTCAATTTTTTTAAATTTATTATAGTCACGGATACGTCCGTGACTACCTCAAAAATAAAAAAAATTAAATTAAACTTAGTCACGGCTCTTGTCCGTGACTAACTCAAAAAAAAAATTAAATTAAAAGTAGTCACGGATCCGGTCCGTGACTAACGTGCCGGAGGCTTATTCCGGTCAAGATGTAGTCACGGATCGACGTCCGTGACTAATCCGTGACTACACCTAGTCACGGCCAATGGTCCGTGACTACATTCTAGTCACGCGGAACTAGTCACTGAACTAGTCACGGACGAAGTCCGTGACTAAAAGTGTTAGTCACGGACTTTTTACACTACGGTCCGTGACTAAGTCCGTGACTACAGGCGAATTTTTTTGTAGTGCATATAATTAATTAACACAGATATGACAAATTAATTTGAATATGAGTTATATTTTATGATCTTGTTTGAAGTATAGCTAATGATAGAAGATTGGAAGGTAACCCATAGAAGTTAGGTTAAAACATTTATCTTAATATTGTTGTCATTTGTGTGGAATTCTTAAAGATTTCTTGTACATTATTTAAGCGTAGAATTGCAAGGCTCGTCTTTATCATCACATATCATGAATTCCCATCCACATGGATTTATATTCCTAAATAACGCTACATACAATTGTACTTGAGTAAATATCGCACCACGTTAGAAGATGCATACTGTTTCAAGTGTCTAGCCTTGACTATTGTTGATGGTCATTCCATAACTAACCACCCATTGTAATTGTCTACACTAAAAAAATAGAGAAAATGGTCAAATAAGGCCTTCTACTATTACGAAATAGTCACATAAGGTCATGTACTCATAAAGTGTCATATAAGTACCTCTACTTGTATAAAGCAATCCAATGAGTCCTAACGGCTTATTTAACACCTCCTAATCCCGATTTTAGCTTACATGTCAATTTTTTGACTTCTATTTCAACCAATCTTAGTTAAATATTCGACATATGCCGTGTAATGTATTCAAAAAAGATGGTCAGAAGTACGTTGAAACCGGGATTAAGAGGTGTTAAATAGGTCATTATGACTCATTTGATTGCTTTTTAGAAGTAGATGTACTTATATGACACTTTATTGAGTACATGGCCTTATGTGACTATTTCATAATAGTAGAAGGTCTTATTTGACTCTTTTCTCAAAAAAATAAGATTGTATTATTATTGTTGAAAGAAGAAGACATATTTTTTTATCAAATTAACATTCCATTTGATATTTTTTTCAAATTCCCAAGAGTATAGTTTAGGAAGAAATTAACAAAATTGGATATAAAAATTAAAGAAGAAATAAAGTTATACGGAGTAGAAATTAGCAAGAGGGGCCATGGAAACCCAATAAGATGAGAATATGAGATGAAATGACGAAGCAGATGGTGAAAAGAGAAGAATAAGAATTAGGTTAGAAGTTGTAAAGAATCAAAAAACTAACAGGTTCTACCATGTATATGATACAACCGCCCATAAGCATTAGGACTTAATCTATTGATGTGGCCTTGAATCATATTATTCAAAAAAAATGGACACATTAGTACATTACTTTTAATCAACACATTACTTTTAATCTTTTACGAAGTACTTGTTCTTACATTTCTTCATATAACAAATCCAATAAAAATGGAATCCGATGTTTTTTTTGGACTATTTTCGATCTCAAACCAAATTAGATCAGACCAGATTAGATCAGATCTGACCAGACTTCCGTAGTTATAAAATACACAGAGACGAGACGTTTACCAACCAGACCAAATCAGACCAACAAATTTCAGTCCAAAAGAAAACATACAATGAGAACTTTATACTATGAATATAGTATAATAATAAGACAACTTTTGCCGTAGTATTGGTCAGTTTGACTTCCAAATTCGATTAGACTCGTTCCAGTTTCTGTCTAAACCTAGATCATGTCCATGTAGGGATGGACTCGTGTCGGGTCAACCGGCCCGTAGCCGGCCCAGCCCGGTACTGTTTCAGCCCGACCCAGCTCGGTACCTGGGTCCATGTCCGGTTCAAGCCACCCGACCCACTACTATTTCGGGGCGGGCTCCGGGTCTCAAAAAACATGAACCGGCCCGACCGGTTCGGGCCAATTTTTTATATTTATTTTTTATTAAAGTCTTTAAAAGGTAAATGGGTCGGGATGAGTGTTTTGGAGGGGTTTAGGGTGTGGGGGTAGGAAGTAGTTAGAAAATTAAAAAATAAAATAAAAAATGTACTCGAGCCAACCCGACCCAAACCAACCCGGCCCGGACCCGGTAGCTACCCGGGCCAGTTCCGAGCCTCAAGAAACCAAAAAAAAGCCCGACCGGGCCTGGCCCGATCCGAGTCCAAGCCTATGTCCATGCCTAGTGCTAATTGAAGATGTGCCCGCTTGGTTATGAATTATGATATGATATAGAGCTGAATAAAAATGGTCTACATGTTCTTTTTTTTATTGCAAAAAGGAAGATGCATTAGTAATTGGTATTATTGCCCTAAATGGGACAAAATTGTTTCTCAAATTCCTAAATAGGACTATGTAAATATTTATTCCCTAAATAGGACTAAATTACTAATTAACCCTTGTTTTATTCCGTTTTATTCCGTATTTTAATTTCCCTGCACCACACCGTTGCATCCCCTCCCCTACGTATTTTTTCTCTCCCCTTCAGATCTGCACAATTCTTCTTCCCCACCTGCGCACCTACTTCTCCCTCCCTTGCACACCTGCACATCTTCTTCTCTTCCACTTCGCACAAGAACAACGAAGCCAGAAGCTGAGTGATAGTCATCGCCGTCGCGAAGTCCACCGCCGTCGTCGCGAAGTCCACCACCTCTGTCGCGAAGTCCACCGCCGTCGGTGTCCGTGATCGACTTTTCTTCTCTGTAGATCGTCTTCTCTTCTATGTTGTTCTGATCTCTTTCTTCTTTGTTTGTTGTTGAATGCCAAGTTAAAATCTGAAAATGCCATCAAAATGGCATTTTAGTCTTCAAAAAAGTTGTATTGTCCTTTTGAAAATGTCATTAGAATGGCATTATGATAATAATCTTGTCATTTATGCTGACAACAGGCAGATCTACAACTGAGGAGATCAGATTTGCAACGGTAGACGCCGGATTAGCTGCGACGGTGGTTAGATCTGCAGCGGCAGCGCCTGACAGTCAGCGGATGCTCAATCAGGCCAGATCTCCGGCGACGCCCGCCAGATCAGCAACGGCGGCGGGTAGATCTGCAACGACGGCCAGTTTTTTGGTGTTTGGCGACGCTCGGTGGTCGACGACGAATGGCGGCGACCGGCGGCGAGTAGCGGTGACAGGAAAATTGTGGTGGTCCAGTGTTCTGGTGATCTGGTCTGCAGCAGTGACTTCCAAGAAGGGTGTTTTTGTCTAATTGTAATTAATAGCTCCTGATTAAAGAATTTTTAAACTTTGATCCTATTTTGGCAATCGATGATTGATTTGCTCTTATTCGGGTAAATATCTCTTAGTGATTTAGCTAGCAATTTCAATATCTTCAGACCTCAGTCATTTGAAGCACAAATCCACATCATTATTAGTTAACGAACTTCAATTACAAGATAATAAATACTTGAGAAAAGGAGAAAATAAGCCCTCAAAGTCTCGAACTATTTGTCGATTCTGCAATCAGAGTCATGAACCGAAGCACTTGCAGTCTGCAGATACACGCCTCCCCTCGTTGAAAATTAATATCATTTTTATCTACGAGTGCCGATAATTTATCATCTTTACATGTACCATCAAGTAAAAAAGGATCTCATTACTTAATTTTCAATGAGTTGAGGGATGTATTTGCAAATATTCCGGTTCAGGGGACCTGATTGCAGAATCACAAATAATTCGAGGCCTTATTTGTCTCTTTTCTCTAAATACTTTAGATGTTATGTTAATCAACCTTAAAGCACACAAACAAATAACTTGTCGATCACATTAAGTAAAACAAAAATGACTAGCATCTCTTTTCTAAAAAGGGATACATATTCCCAAAAAGATACAGATGGCAAAATGGAAAATGAAGAATTCTGGGAACGCTATGTAAGGAAAAATATTTGTTTTCATCATACATGAAGCTAAACAGCTCTCCTTCAATCCTCATGACTCTTTGGGCATAGAAGCTTGTCTGAGTCTACGTTGGTGCACATCCCAGTTGTATATGCGAGCAGTCATGACCTGAGCGAACCAACATTATAAGTACCTTAACCAAAATGCCATATTTTGCTAATGACCACAAAGATAAACCATAAGGCCTTGTTTGGTTCGGGTATTTCAGAGGTACAGGGAGGGGAAGATTGATTGTTATATCTTACTAAATTATTCTGTATTAGGGAGACTTGGCACACCGGTTAAACTGTTGTTGTGTGAGGGGTAGGTCACATGTTCAAGTCTTGGCAACAGGTTCTTGTTAAATCACCAAGAATTACCCATACCCCTATTGGGACCCTTTACTGGATCCTTGCCTTGAACGGACGCCCATGTGAGCTGGATTACCCTTTCTAAACTAATGTCTTTTTGTCAGATTTGGATTAGATATAATTATATAATTCTAATAGCTTTTATCATCACTTTATTTCCGAACATCTAATGTAGAATTTATTTAAAAAATATATCTCACTCCTCTCCTTCCATCCCTCCAAAATCTCGAACCAAACACGTCTTAAGTGTCTGCTCTCGAGGTTCTCACAAAGGTAAACAAGAAAATGCCAAAATGGAAACATACTAAATTAATGAAACACATAATTGAAAGAGTTACCTGAGAAATTGTCACTTGGTCCCTCAAAAACTGGAGATCAGCTACAAGAACCTCCAAGCTAGCTTTTGCATTCTCCAAGTTCTTCTGAAGAAGAGAAGTGGCCTGCACCATAGATTTTAACAGTGTAATTAAGACAAGTTTGGCATTGTTGTCAATAGGTCATAATAATATTATGATAATATGGAATTGTACAAAAGTGTGTTCGGTATATTTACGATATAAGTTGAGGTGTTGTTGTTCGGAATTATCTTTTAGCAGATGTGACCATGAAGTTGTTTTAGATTTATGGATTTAGGCCACATTACTTTTTCTTTTACCAAACGAGTATTTCGGGAAAGAAATACTGTGTCTTTAAAAGCCATTAAGCCATAGACCAAAAGTGGCCTTCAAATGTTGTACGCGTACCCATAACAACATCTTGAAATGAAGAAGAATTTACAAAAATACAGAAAATGTGATTGTGTGAGGCAGACAGATGGATATAATTAAGTGCGTGTGAGTACCTCATCAAATGAATACTCCAGCATGACATTTGCTCCTAGCCACAGGCATACAGAATTTGTATCTTCTATATGAGCCCGGGAATAAATTCCTTCTGACACTTCAAAATCAGCTATTAGAGCCTGCACCCAGATACATTGAGCAAAAGATTATATCCAACAGGCAACGTTTTTTAATCAGGTGCATATTAACTATCAAGTCTTAACATACTCACAGACTTGACCTGAATATCATCACGAACTAGCATTCCGGATTTCCGGATTACATAACTGGAAACATTTTGTACATTTGCTTTCTAATAATACTTGACATGTTGAGTTAAAAAAAACATACTGATATACCAACACAATCATTTTCAAACACTGCAGATAATAAAATGTTTTGCCTATTCTGTGACAAAAGTTGATGCTCTTGAAGGGACCAAATGGGGAGGCCCGGGAGGGACAAGCTTAGAGACTAGGAGGAATCTAGTCTCCGTATTTATATTTTATTGTTTTAGATGGAATATAAATTTATATACACACACACAAGAAGGGCATGCGGTTTTATATAACAAGATTGAGACAAGAAGGGCATGCGTTTTTATATTGTCACTACGCTCTGCTGAATAAATTTATAATGACAATTGAAAACATAAATTGCATGCACCAACGCCAATGCACTCAAGGTTAAGTTGATTATTGTTGTTGTTGTTGTTGTTGGGGAAAAAGTTAATTAGATTAAGCAGATTATGTTATGCACAAGGTAGTCAAAGTGTGTGCTTCGTCACTTAAGGGCACCAGGCGCAATGAGCAGGGCATCAAGCGCTTGAGAGTAGGGGAGGCGGGGAGGCGCATGCACAGGTGTTAGGCACAGCTTAAACGCGGAAGCAAACACAGTCGCGCGCCTGGGTTGCCTGATGCGGATAAGGCTGACACCCTTTTTTGGAGTAAAACTTTCAAAAATAATTAGCCTATATCTTTAATAACACTCAGCCCATCTATATAATAGGGTAAAACAAGTGAAACCAACGTAAAACCTTAATTCGCATACGTAAAATCGCAAAACCAGCGCCAAACGCTACAGCCATCATCTCTCTTCAGTCTACTTAGTCTCCTCTCTCCAGCTGCTCAATATCGACCAAGTTTTCTTCATGACGAATAGTCCTTCACAATTTTAATAAGGGGAAACATGACTTTATTTTGGTGAATCCTGGCTTTTTTATGCATTTGATTCAATATGATGTTACATACATCATATTCGGTAATTATAGAATAGTATATGTGATTATGTGATATTATCTAAGTAATGCGCTTCACCCGAGTCAGTGAGCGCTTTAATTGCGCCTTAGGCCTCAGGCGCGGGAAGGCCCCTAGCGCTAGGTGCGTCTTTTGAGTTTGATTACCTTGGTTATGCTGACTTATGCATTAGTTTTTACGAACATGGACTGAGAAAGGATAAAAAAAATATGGGATTTTGTTGAGGCCCCTGCTCCCTAGAAGTTAGGTTTTGTTGAGACCCAAAACTCCAAAATTCATTTTCTAAAACTCTGGCTTGTATTATTCCTAATTAAGACCCTCCTTATATAAAGTGGAAGAATAGAAATAGGCAACAACTAAACTACTGAATAATAGAATATCACCGAATCCCAAAGATTATAGGAGAACAAACAGGCAATTACAAAACTATTGAATGGTTTCCAACTTACAAGTAATTCAAACATAAAAGTTAAAACTCTTTCCCAACCATCTGAGTTAATAAGAAGACTTCAAGTACTAAATAACACTTGATCATTCTTTTATCTTGCTTCTCTATCCAGGAATGTAACAGCCTTCACTAGTTAGATAAGTATTACCAATATGGAATATGCCACAGGTTTTAGTTCATCTAAAACAATAATTGAGAAACTAGAGTGCATTATGGATTATTACTGTCTCTAATTACAAAATGTAGTCGGTCTATACTAATAAGCTTAAACTGATGTGTTGGTTAAGGTTCACTTTACTATATACCTTAGTAGAAAGAGCAGCCGCTATGAGAGTCAAATGTAACAAGGCACAATTCTTAATTGTTAGAAAACATGAATAGGCAACACCTAAGAAGCACGGAAACTTCACACCGCTCGCTTTTTCACCGTTTTGAAAACTCAAAAGCATGTCAGAAGCCCAGAAACTTCTAGAATTGGGAAACTTGATTCCCGAAATAATTAGTGTTTCAGAAAATACAATGGTTTTTTATGGAAATTAGTTTGTGTTGGTAAAATTTTTTAATGAAGCTTTTATAGATTTTTTTAAAGTAACATGGCTGTGATAATTCACTATGCAATGTGTTACTGGAAATGTATTTCTGCATTTCATTATTCATATAAATGTAAAAAATCTATATGAACATGTAGACTATTTTATCATTGGTTATTAAGTAAACTTATAAAAAAGAAAATGTGCATATATGTGTGTGTGAATATGTGAGAAAAAATTATAAACATATCCTCATTTTTTATAAATGTGCATCTTTACAATGCTTCATATCCCACATTTTCTAAATTCTGTTTCTGAGTTCACCATTTCACATTTCATGTTTCACATTTCCGGGCTTTGTAGAGTGACAAACTGAATCACTGATATATAAGTAAATCAGAAAATGATCAAGCTCACTATTTAATTACAGAGGTCAAATACATAATCATGATGTGTAATGACCTAGTCTAACAAAATCTGAAGGCATTAAAAATGTGAATAAATATCTAAATGAATTCAAATATTAGAACGAACCTCACCAGTGGCCTTCTTAGCTTGCAAAGTGCCAACAATATCTAAGCATTTCTCAATGTCAGGAATCTTTGCCTGGTGGACAGTATACAAGCATCAGTCCATCATTTCTTTTCTCAAAAATTGAACTAGAAAGTCCTAAGATATGCAAAAGCACAGAATATTTGCCCATAAATTGGACCATAAAGTGAAAGGGAATGGAGAAGCAATCAAGCACATATTATGTATAGTAGCTCTAGCTATACCTCAACTCTGGTCTTGAACCTGGATCTTATTACTACCAACGACCACTATAATAAATCAAAGCGGTAAATGTTTCCAGATTATAAACTGTCACATTTGAAATATGCAATGAGTGTAAACATGAACTTGAAAGATCTCTTTTGAGCTGCCATGTTTCAAAATTATTCCCTTGCCTAACCATATATTAATATGGTTACTACAAATGTTCAACTATTTACTTCATTTATAAACTATCTCATCCAATCTTATCACTAAAGTTGCAGATAATGTAAACTAATGAAGTGATAGACTATAATGTGTAAAGCTTAACTAGCACTCTAGCAGAAGAGCGCCAGAGATGGCCGCAAGAAATACTTCACTAGGATTGGAAAACTACATTTTCCTTGATTTGCCACTCATTCAAAAATAAATAATTACTAAAGTGCACCTGAAGATCTCTCTGCTGAGCCAAAAGCTTCATTTCAACCACCCTGTATTGCTGAAGTCTGCAAACGAAATTACAATGTTATTGCACAAAAAGGGGAAAGGTATCAACTGTATATCATATTTTCCACTTTCAGACAGAATGTGGAAACTCAAGTATAAGATTGCACAAAAAAAAAAGTAGAAAGGAAGGAATTATAGAAAAAGCATGAAATAAGAATTATGAGCAAACCACTTTAAGATTATTAAACTACTTAAGAACAGCTTGCTCCAATAAGTTTGTAGGGAATATTGGTGTCTCCACTTTGAAGGTCAGAAAATAGAATAGTACCTCGATGGATACAAGTCAGACAACCTCTACAAAAAGAAATTAGATGGTAATTGTTTCCTATTGGTTTTAGAATTCGTTTTTTAGTTTTCTTAGTTTCCTATTTAGCCACCAGGACTGTAGGGACTATTATAAATAAAGGGGTTCCTATTCATTACTCATTAGTAATATTGATCATTCTGGAATTATTTCTAGTGTGCCTTTGGCAAGACCAAGCACTAAAATTCCTTCTTTGCAAAGGGTGCTATATGTTCAATATCCTTATATCTGCAACTGCAAGTAGTTGTATATGTTCACAGATTTCATCTTTTCTTTTTCTTCTAAATACACACTGGTAAAAGAATTACTCCAAATCCAATAATAACTACTGACCATAAGAAAATACATATTGGAAGCAAAAAGACTTTTATTTACAGTATCAATTTATCAAACAGCAAATGGGGGCCACCGCTCCTCCAATTTTTTTCTAGGTATATTTAACCCGAAATTTTTAATATATATGTATTTGTATGTATTTTTTTATACTGCCGCCCCTCCTACCGGGAAATCTTGCGTCCGCCGCTGCCCAACCACATACAAAGAATGAAACATACATTCCCATACTAATATAAAAACTACCCCCATACAAAAAAAACTACACAGCATCATATTTTGATACATCCACATTCAAATTCACTCAAAGCAGCTAATTTTGTTGAAGATGCCATTAAAAGGCACATCTTTCACGGTGTTACAACAATCATCTATCAGAAAGACAGCAAGTAGGAAGCAACCTTGAGCATTTGTTGGTTCATACTAAGCTTAGGAATGCAGATTCCAGGAAGTCGAACTAGCAGAATCCGTAAGAGTTCAAAGTAATAAGGAACAAATAAAACCAAATAAGAATATTAATTCCAGGAATTTAACTACAGAAAATCTTCGATTCGAGATTCTAAATTATCATATACCAAACAATAGATACAGATACCTAAGCACGCAAAAAGAATGTGAAAAGGGGGAACCTTTCTTGAAGGAAGGCGAGAGCTGAGTTGACATCAAGGCCGGAATCGTTCAGATACATCTGAACATCTTCGACGAAGACCGCCGCCGGAATTCCTCTCCTCTCCGTCACTCCGGAGGAGGACGATAAAGAGGCAACATCTCCCGCCATTTGCAACAAGCCTTATGGCATAGAAATGGTAGGTCAGCTGGAAAATGATTACTGATTGTCTCACGCTCAGCTTCGGCAGCACTTTACAGTAAACAAGACTGGGAACTGGAAACAAGCGCCTGGAGGAACAAAAGAGTTCTGGAAAAATGACGTCGTTTTGAATTAAGTCTGATACAGGCTTCTGGACGAGGCCCAAATGATGCTATTGGTCATCTTAGATTTCCATTTGCGCACATGGATCCATTACCAGACCAACTAAAAATATAGCCCATGTAGACAAATTTCTAAAATTGGACTTGAAATATTTTCTTTCTAAATGAAGACTTATGTTGTTATGTAATAATCTTATCAAAAGAAGAAACAAATAAGATTAAAACATACCTAAAAATCAAAAATATGACTATCGTTCTTAAAATTTCCTTAATAGGATCCAATCATGCAGAACCCCTGCAAGAATCTTTACCATTTGTTCGGTTTGGTCCTGAAAGTGAGGACACAGACCCTCATTGGTGGATGAGGAAGAAATACGGTTCCTTGTTGGTGAGTGATACGTATTCAGGGCTTGATGGCTTGGAGGAAGATAGCGAAGAGGTGACATCGGCATTCTTTGAGAGGAATGGAGGAGGGTCAGAAGCGAGCTATACTGCTTGGGGAGATGAGTGATCTGTCTATCTCACTGTGTAATTTTGTTGCATGTGTTATTTTCTTCCCCTGTGTGAACCTGTGCATCCTTCGGTCCCCTAGATTGTAATGTGGAAACTGATGATGATTAGGGGCTTTGAGTTTAACATTTTGTGAATTTCTATGTGGTGATGTTGTGAAATAATGTGTGGTATGCCATTATTGTGCTTTTGTGTACTTGTGCAGCCCACTGAGTAAGTGTAGGAGGCCAAGTTACACACAAAAAAAGATAAACAGTTCATTAGACATTGCAAAAGATTTTGTCACACGGTTCATTGTGAAAGTGTGCTAACACTTGCACATGTAAGTACACCAAGTAATTGTGCTTACAAGCAAGGAAAGTACATACAAAAAAGTACACCTACATTAGGCAAAAAATGTGTACTAACAATATTCTAGCTTCATTAATCCTCATGTAAGACAGTTCATAGTTGAATATCCAGATTATCTTCATCTGTGAACTGAGTCCCTGCATTTTCAGCTGATGTGTTTGTTGCTAGTAGTCCATCCAAATGTGTCTTTGCTGCCCAATAAACCTCTTCACTGATCTGGATATTAGTGGGTAATAATCCCTTTCTTTCTAACTTGTTTTTTCCAATATGTTTGAGTTTGTAGTTATTTCCACCATTATGCTTCAGAATCTCTTCCATGACAAGTTGATAACTTAAGAACACCTTATTTAGGCACTGAGGTGTTAACTCATCATATGCTGTTTTTACTGATTCTATTAAATCCTTGATGGATTTTGGGGCTTTTTTATCTTTCAAGGAGTCAATAGCCCTAAAAACCCAAGTCAAGCACATTGAGATCAGGGCTGTTTGGTGGCTGATAACGAAGTTGGATTTTCCATCCATCTTATGTCTCACTTTTGACAAATTCAGCATCATTCACATCTAAATGTGGTCTAGCATTGTCTTGTTGTATGATAACCTGTTTGTTTGCATCTGGCCACCTTTGTTTGATAGGTGGTATGATTTTGTTTAAAATCATGCCCTTTATGACTAGTCTGGTCACACTTGTAGTGGCCTTGGTCTCTAACACTAGTACAAAAACAGTTTTTTACATCACTCATTCTACATGGGTTATTTCGAATCCCATGTAAAAAAGCGGTGCGGGTGTTTTTTATAATTTATGAACAATTTTCCAAATCGGTTATAAAGATGACCGCAGTCATATAATATTTCGGGGTACTTTGTGTAAATGTTCAAATTCTTTTGAAATCGGTTAAATATTTAACCGATGTGAATCAGAAAACGGGGTAATTATTATAATTAATGAAAGTTATGTTCCATGTTTGGTCGGTTAGAACTCACAACCTGTATTGTTTTTACTCGACATATAAACATATCTTTCCTTTGTGCGGCAAGCAAATTGAGAAGCTACAAACCTCGCGGTGAATCTGAGGCGGAGTTACACGACGTCCCCAGCCCCCGTTGACACTCGCGATTTAGAATCACTTGATACCAAAGGACGTCCACTGCCGCCCCACGACTTCTACCGTCGAATTCCAGCCACTGACCAAGGGATGTCCATGACCACCACTACGAGTTCCACCGGCGAATTCTAGCTACTCCAAGAGGCGTTCATAGTCACCACCTCGTCTTCCAAAAACAACTTCTTCCAGATCTGGTATTAAACTAGTTTAGGTATTCTTAATTTCATTATTTATTTTATTAATAAAACCTTAATACCTTTATATTTATAGGTGTTAATATGTTATTGAGCTTTGATTTTACTAATCTATTATTTGATCATTATTATATATTTTTGTTTGATTAGCCTTATACTCGGTAGATTTTGCTTCCTTGTGTTTTACGAATGTAAAGTGTAGCAGGTAAGATGTTTGATGAAATGTTTGAGAGAATATAAATTTAATTTTTTCCATAAATACAAATGAAACTGTACGTACCTGGATAGGAACCTTCTAAAAGTTGCCAAACTTACGATTCACACTTTAAAATGTAGCATAGAGTTTTAGATCATTACACTTGGAGAGAATAAAAATTATTCTTAAAGTAGTTTTAAACATCTGCTAGGTTCGATTGATTCACTATTTCTGTCATGATGATATTAAACTTTTACACTATCATAATCATTATTTTTTTATTTTTAATATCTACACTATGAGTGAAAGCTTTGGTTAAAATTTACACATAGCATCCATAGATTCACAGAAAAGGTTACTGAAGCATGAATTGCTCTTCATTTTATGATACTACCTGTTTTATTCCCTTTGATTGGTAATTTTGAGTGGGGTGGGGTGAAAGGTGGGAAAGAGTACCTCAAAGAAGAAAATGAATATGGTGTCTCATATTCACAAAGGTTAGTTGTTACTACTCTTATATGATTTTTCAATATGAGATGAATCTGCTTATTAAACATCTTTAGTGATGTGTTTAGGTCTAGGAAGAAAGTGTTCACAAGTGGTGGCAGCAAGCCTTGGAAAACTATCAAGTCAGGGATGAATTTCCATAGATCCGCCAGCACGCACAGTCTTTGAATATAATTTTGTTCTAGGAAATTCAGCTGTTATTTTCTTTTTTCAGAAATGCATAGTAGCGCCATTGCACATAAATGAAATTGACATTAACTTGTTCTATACAAACTTATTGACATTGTCAGGTCATAGGTGATGCCTGGTTGCAGTGACATTAAAAACTACAGTATTGCTATTGTCGAGACATTACAAATTAGAGTATTACTGGACATGAGGTTCTGTAGCTTTTATTCCCTTCATGTCACGTTTTTGTTATGAAACAGAATTTTATGTTCTCCTATTTGTGGACAAGTGAAGTGTTAAATAAGTTTTGTCATTTCCTTCTAGAAACTTTTTACTTCTATGTATTATTTTTTTATGCTCTACTCACCTTTCTAGTTTCCACTCTAATTACGTGAGTACTTTTTATGCCCTTGTGCAGGAACTTGCGCAAAGAAAAATTTTGTTCACAAGAAAGAAGTTGCAAAACTCTTGGATGACATTTATATTAATGGGTGACAAATGTGAGTTAACTTGTATTTACTTGCAACATGCTAGCACAGATTGGAATCTATTTGATATTGAAGTACTGAGTACTTGTTTATGTTTATGAAGGCAACCTGTGTACTTGTTATAACGTTTAGTAGGAACAAATGTCTTTACTAGAGCGTTTAGTTGATGTTAGAAAGTTAATTGATTACTTGTGTATGTATTTCTTCTGCCATTACATGGCATTTATGTGATATCTATTATATATAGGAATGGTTCGCCAAATATTATCTAACTACAAGACAATTTAAATTTGTACGGAAAAAACCAGTACAATAAAACTTCATATGATGTACTCCATATATGATTATAAAAGTAATAGGCGCTAGATTTTTTTATTATTAAAAAATTGGAATTTTACATCGGTTATTTGTAAAACTGATGTGGAATCTCTTCCACATCGGTCACACCCCATGTAGTATATGATATGCAGCGACAGAATTCAAGCACTTTCCATATCCATTATTAAAAGTCTGATGTAGATTATTTCACATAGGTCTAAGCCGATGTTATATGTGCTATGGAGCGGCTATGTTAATACTTTTCAAAATCGGGTACTGCACGACCGATGTAGAAAGACTTTTCACATCGGTTATAGAACCGATGTGAAAAGTCTCTACTTTTCACATGGGCTGGAACCACATCGGTTGTTTGACCGATGTGAAAAGCCTTTTTTGACCGATGTGAAAAACCTTTTTTGTACTAGTGTAAGGTCCCGAAAGGTCTGTTTTTGCTTCTCCTCTTTGTTGTGTCCTCATACACAAATGGGAAAATACCAATTTTCCCATCCCATAGTACCTCCCCAGTACTTCCCAGCCTAGGCCTACCTACTGCAGCAATGAACATTATTTTTTGTATGAATTTTTTGGACTGTACAGTTCTGTATGGGTCTTCTTCTTTTGGTAAGGTGTAAAAACATGTTGTTTCTTTAGAAAGATAGAACCACTTCTCATCTATGTGTACATGGTCATAGAAGTCATGAAAAGTGGGGGTAAATGGTAGTGAATGGGGGAGGATATGACTGAGACAAAACTCTAACCTTTTCTGCTTCCCCTCTTCTTTCAACAAAGGCTTAATTGCATTAGAAATTTAGAATGCCTTTTTATTTTCTTTGCCTTCGACCAACGCCGCACAGTTGTCTTTGACACCCCCATTGCATATGCCAAGACCTAATGTTTTTTCTATTCTTCAAAGGAACCTGTGACATCTTTTCCACGTCAAATTGAATTCGTTTTTGTCCCACGTTACCTGTCCATTTGTTCTGCACATTAATGGCAGCTCCACACTCCATATGTGCCTTTCATGTCACCCACAATTTGTGTACAATCCTTGTAGAAATGTTAAACTCGTTGGACACATTTGTAATAATGCCCCTCTGAAGTTTTCCATCTGTTGCTTTGCTTAGTAGTACCTCTATAATCCGCCTTCTTTGTTTTGTTGTTTGCTTCGGCCACGTTTTCTTGACTGTGTACTGTGGCTCATTTTCTTCTGCTATGTCTTATGGTGCAGGTATCAGTTGAAGAATCTGGTGTGTGTCATCTTGTAGAGGTGGGACATTAAGATCAAAGGATTCAGAAGATGTTTCAAAAAAGGAACCAAGAGGGGTGGCAGAAGAAGATTGCAGAAATGAAGAACTTTCCATTTCATGTGAAGAAGAGAGTGTTAAGATAGTGTGTGGTTGGACCGAGCTCATGGGGTGCTTTATGTAGTGGTCAGATTTTTTAGGAGGGAAATGTCCTCTTAAAACTTTCTATTTTGGGTTTTGGAGGGAAGTGAAATGTCATTCTCTTTCCTCAAAAGTTTTTTTGGGACCGTACTTATGTAAATAGAACCAGACACTTTACTCTCTTTCATCTTACTTTATTCTTCTTTTTCCTTTGTTTTACCGTGCCCCACCCTTTACTTTTACCCCACCTATTTATTGTTTGTTAAGGGTATAAATGGAAAGTCAAAGGACCGGAGGGAGTACTAACAAGGCTTATAGTAGAAAAAATGATTGGAGTCCAACTACGAACTTGAATAAGGACCGGAGGGAAACTAACAAGGCTTATAGTAGAAAAAATGATTGGAGTACACCATTTTGTGTACACCATTCGCACACATTGTCTGTTTACGCAGATAAAATTTTCTGCATACAGACAACTCTATAACCATTAACAAAATCTTTTGTATTGAGACAACTTTATTAGCATAGAGAGACAATGTATATGAATGGTGTACACAATCCTGTACACCGAGCACTCGAAGCATTCCTCTAGGGTGCCTTTGAGGCTAAAACTTTTCAACCAAGGCACATCATTCATAGTTAGATTGGAACTGGTTTAAAGTAGACCGGCTAAATGGTATATATACGAAGTAAGTGGGAGCAAGTATAAAATGTATTTTACAGAATTACATGGAATTGGAAAATAAGAAAATTAGGATTGGAATGATCAAGATGGAGGAGGAGCTGAGCTTGAAGATGCATCGGAAAGTAGACCGGCTAAAGTGCTCATGGCTCGTACTTGCATTTCCAGAGCGGCAATATAATCGGTGGCTTCTTCTAAAATCACCGGCAGCGGCTCTTTCCGGCATCCAGGTATTATCCGGCCCAATACCCGCGCCTTCCTCTGCACAGTCGGCAAATTCTTCATCTTCAGCTGCTGAATAATCAATCTCCGTTTCTTCGGACATCGACTATTACTCCCTCTCGCCGCTGACACCAATCTCTGCCTCTTGTTGTGCCTCTTCATAAACTTCAGCTTGAGGCGGTTGGTGAGGATGGAGCGGCTCCACCTGGTTCGCCCCTTCGCAGTAACCGCCAAAACTTTGTCCGCAGCTTCCCGAACCGCTCTCCCGCCCTTCGGCGCCGTCGGAGACGGCGGATTTATCCGGAGCATCCGCAGAGCTCCGAGAAGCCTAGAAGAGTAAACTTGCTCTTGCGTCTCCGATTTCCAATCAGCAGCGAAATTGTTACTGTTCGCATCTTGACTTTGCGCAGCCAACAGTATGCTTAGCTTCCTCTCCTTCCTCCTCCTCCTCCTCCTAGCCGCTACTCTACTCGCCGTGTTCGTAACTGGACTCGATACGAAGCTCGAATTCATCATCACCGACGATTCAATCGGATTTCAGAAATCGAATTTCGGATCGAAATGGTCAGATCGGGACTCTGATCGATACACTCAGAGTTCTTATGGAGAGAGACGAATCGGATGATCTGTGGAATCGATTAGAATCAACAACTGCAGAGAGAAACGGATTCACGGAAAGACATTCGAAGAAACAGAACTGGATAGACAGATTACGGATTCAGCATATAAGAATAATTAATCAAGGAGTAATACAGCAATGATCGTTATTATAAAATTGATAAGAACAGAGTTACACCGTACCGTAAAAGAAAAGCAAGGATTTCCAGTTTCGTGGAATAGTCAATCCTGTAATTGTTTCACATGTGCGTTGAGATGGGAATATCTAAGGGGGTCCGGATTTGGCTCTTCTGTTAATTTTCAAAAGTGAGTGGAGAGCAATATCTTATACACCTCACTATTATACACCTTCTAAATTTTCAAAAGTGAGTGGAGAGCAATATCTTATTTAAATTTGTATATATGTAATTTAAATACTCCAAATTTTACAAAAAAAAAATGTATTCGAATCATTGTCATGTATTATTTCTTTAAAAATGTAAATTTATGAAGTTAATTACATAATTTAAAAAAGCAAATTAAAAATGTTGCAATTATATAGATTGGAGGTAACATTATTTATTTCGCAATGGAAGTTTAGAATTGTGTCTTCTTGAATTCTAAAATATTTTAAATTATGCAATAAACATCATAAATTTACATTTTTGAATGAAATAATAATTGCCTATTGTGCTAAAATAACTTTTGGGGTGTACATATATAAAGTTTGGGATATTTAAATTACATATGAAAGTTTGGGGTGTACATCTCACACTCCTTGAAAGTGTGGGGTATTTTAATTATTTGTCGCGCTCACTATATCACTCCCTGTGTGAGAAAAGGTGTATGACTTATGACTGTGACGGGAAAACGTTTTCAAATACGGAGTATTCCTTTTGTTAGTACTTCCTCCGTCCCGGAATTATCTTCATTCTTTCCTTTTCGGTCCGTCCCAAATTTATCTTCTTTTTCCCTTTTTGGTAAAGAATATGTGGTTCACAACCATTATTACACATCTCTCTCTCCTCTGCATAACTTTCCACCACACAAATCACATTATCTTAAAACCCGTGCCCGGTCAAAACCGGAGTTAAATATGGGACGGAGGGAGTACATGTTTTTCAACTCTGTGCATCTCTTACTATTTCTAGGAAACTTAATTACTTCCTTCGGTCCTTATTAAACTTTACACTTTGACTTCATATATATTAAGGAAATAAATTTGACTTTACTGTAGAGTACACTGTTTGGCACTGTTTGACACTGTTTGGTGTAGATTTGTTTGCCAAATAAAGCAAATAAGGAAGTGTAAAGTTTAATACGGGACTGCTCAAAAAAGAAAGTGTAAAGTTTAATAAGGACCAGAGGAAGTATTAATAATAAACTGGTACGGAGTAATAGAAAAATCAATATTTTTGGGGATTAGGCTAAAAAAATACTACATCCGTAACACAAAGATCTTCCCAGTTTGACTCTTTTGGGTCAAACTTTATAAACTTTGACCATTAATTATTCAAAAATCACATTATGTTATGATTAAAATTTTATTTCATATACCTCATTGTAAAACATATTATTTGAATGTTAGTTTATTATGAATTTTATAAGTATAGATATGTAGATATTTAGAGTCAAAGTTCAACTTAGAAGACAGTGAAAAGTCAAAACTGGAAGATCTTTGTATTACGGAGGTAGTATTTAGTACCAAGGGTGCTGAACTTTGCAGCATGTTTGTGATGTTGTTGTGGGGTATTTGGAAGGACATACATGATATTTTGTTTTTTGGATGAAATGTAAATTTATATTAACACCCAAAGAAAACTATACATCATGGGTTCTAGATCTCCTAACCCCCCACCCCTACCTAGTGTACGGGTAAGAAGAGATTTTTATTCGATCTAGCACAAAATCATAACAAAATCAAAGGGGCCTAAGTATAATATACCAAATGCCCCCAATACAAAAACAATTCAGTGGTGCACGATAGCACACATATAACTAAGCAAAAATCAAGCAACCGGGACATAAGTTAATCCCATTGCCAAGCAAAAATTCAGTGGTGTTGCAAGGAGCAAACACACTAGTCCATGAGTGGATGCCGCGGCCATCACCCAAGTCTTCTCTTCAAAATCTGATCATTTCATGTGGGTATATAGAAAATAATATCTTGTATACCACATGTTTAATCTTCGCAATGACTTCATCCTCCATCTTCATACTTCCATCAAAACGAGAGGCGTTTCTAGCATGCCATATATAGTATGCCGCGGCACAAAATGCAATCCGGACAGCCTTTGCCTTCAAAGTGGAGCCTTTGTGCTTCTTCAAAATCCATTTGACCGAGCTATGCAGCGTAGTCATTTGGTTTTCCATGCCCATCCATTCCCTAATCTTCCCCCAAATCCTGCAAGTAAAAGGGCAAAGAAAAAGAGGTGTGGCATTGTTTCCAAGTCACCCTTGCACAAGTCACATCTGTTAACGATATGCAAAAATCTGAGGCTATCTTGTGTTGGTATCCTATTTCTAAAGGCAAGCCAAATCATAAAGGAGAACTTCTGAGGGATATAGGATTTCCAAATAAAACTCATCCATACCCTAACCGTTCCCTTAGTTCTCAAAAGTTCATAAATTTTACTTGAAATGAATTTGCCATTAATAGATCTAGAGGCTAACCCCATTATTGTGTCATTATGGTTGTTAAAACAGCCCCTAATCCTATCTCGTATTAATGCCAAGTTTTTCATGAAGCTCGAATCACGGCTGTGTGGGGAAAAGTCCCACACACTTTTACCGTTAAGGTAAACGCCATTCACCCATTTTACCCAAAGGGTGTCCTTCTTTAGGTGCACATCCCAAAGTGTACGAGATAGGAGGGCTTGATTCCAAATCTTAGCATTTCGAATGCCCAACCCCCCCCCCCCCCCTCCTCCCCTCATCCTTAGGGAGACAAATATCGTCCCATGCCACTTTGGCATATTTTCCTCCCCAAAGGAAAATCCTACAGATGGAGACAATTCTATCAAGGATAGTCCGCGGCACTGGAAAGACTTGTAGCCAAAACGATTGGACCCCTTGGATCACAGATCGTATTAGCTCAACCTTTCCAGCATAAGAAATGGACTTCGTATTCCAAGCATTCAAAAAGTCCAAGATCGTGTCTAGCAATGGGGCATATTGTGCCACCGAGACTTTAAGTGGGGCAAGAGGGATCCCTAAGTACTTGACCGGGAATTCACCCTGCCCAAAGTCAACAATACTCAAAATATTTTGCAAATCAAATTCATTAACCCCCCCAACAAAAATGTTTGACTTGTTACAATTCATTCTTAAGCCCGATGCATCCCCAAATTCTTGTAGGGCATTAACAAGCACTTCAATGAAAGCCTTGTCACCCCTAGAGAATAATATTGGATCATCCACATAGGCCAAGTGTGAAATGTTAAGTGAAGCACATTTAGGGTGGAAGTTAAATGATATTTTGTGGAATAATAGCAGGTGATCTACACATGTGTAGTAGCTGAAGCGGATGCGTACTTGGAGGGATGGAGGCGGACACAAATGATACCGACTTGAATTAAAGTTGACGTGGAGGGGCTAGTTCTAAGCAATGGGTCAAACCAGATGAGGGGTGTATAAAGCTAAATGTAGATGTTGCAATGAAGGTAAGGACATGCCGCACAGGACTTGGTTGGGTGGCTCGGGACAGCGAAGGAATTTCCTTAGCCGATGGTTCTCTTTCCAGTTTGGGAGAATATTCAACTAGTTTTGCTAGGATTACTTTTTCTCTCGTCGGCTATCAGTGAATCGGGTAGATCATATTTTAGCACAAATCTATTTCTGGGCAAATTATACCGTATGACCGGTATACGGTGAGCATCGTATACCGGTATACGGATTTCTTTTTTTTCCTTTTGTTTTTAAAAAATGATAATAACTACGTAATATTTTATTTTTTATCTGATTTTTATAAAATTTATATCAACATTTTTTATTTTTCATGATCTTTCAAATGAGATCAATATTTCTTATGTAATTTTAAGAAATTATCGAACTATTATATTAATGAGTATTGGATTATTAGGAAAATCGATCTAAATTTAATACAGAAAAATAATTGTGTAAATCACAATTTATCTTAAAATTGTGTATATAAAAAATTTATTTTATTATGTATTTATACATGTGAGTTACATATTTTTATACGTAAAGTTACATATTTGTACACGTAAAGTTACATATTTATACACACGATTTGCATTTGGCCAGTCTGAACGCGAGTTACATATTTATACACACGAGTTGTATTTGACATGTCTGAATGCGAGTTACATATTTTTACACGTAAAGTTACATATTTATACACGCGAGTTATATTTTTTTACACGTAAAATTACATATTCTTACACGTAAAGTTACATATTTATACACGCGAGTTACATATTTATACACACGAGTTGTATTTGACACGTCTGAATGCGAGTTACATATTTTTATACGTAAAGTTACATATTTATACACGTGCGTTACTATTTATACACACGAGTTGTATTTGACATATCTGAATGTGAGTTACATGTTTTTACACGTAAAGTTACATTTTTTTACACGTAGAGTTACATATTTATACACACGAGTTGCATTTGGCCTGACTCGACGTGAGTTACATATTTCTACACATAAAATTACATATTTTACATAGGTTAATATAATAGTTCGATAATATGTTAAAATTACATAGTCAATATTGGTCTCATTTGAAAGATCATGAAAAATAAAAAATGTTGATATAAATTTTATAAAAATCGAATCAAAAATAAAAAAGTTATTACCATTTAAAAAAAAAAGACAAAATAATACCCAATGGGTGCATGATGCTTGCACAAGTTGGACGGTATATGCACTCCTATTTCCGTGTCTGATAACGTAGTTTGGCAATATTATCCTCCCAGTTTTATTGAGTTGTATTTGGATTACGATACGAAAAATAATAGCTAATTATCTGTCTTAAAAAAAGAGAGAAATCAATACCAGAGAATAATGAGTACTCCTGAATACGTAGACATTGAGAGCAGGTAAGGATAAAAACCCATAGCCGTCTCCCCTTTTCCTTATTTTCGTCAAGTTTCTTTCTTCTCCTAAGTATGAAAAAACATCTCTTTTATCGGTATTTTTCAGCTATTTTATGTGGTTTCTTCCCACCGATGTCTAGGGTTTGTGTATTCCTCGTCAGTAGAATCGATCGGGTGTTGAAATTTTATTATTGGTGGTTGGAAATGTTAGTCTTGCTTGATATTTTTGAGAGATTAACTTCAGTCGCCGGCGATTGCAGAACAATTATTCGACCTCCTAAACCACCGCCATGCTATGAGA